ATATATCATTTTAAATTAGGTTTAATACCACGAAAAATCCCAAACTAATACACATGTGACAAATTTATTCAAAACTAATTTTTTACCACAAAAAACCCTAAACTAGTACACTTGTAACAAATTTACCCTCCGTTAAATTGGATTAATACCATGAAAAATCGTAAACTTGTACACTTGTGACAAATGGAGGGTAAAATCCCAAACTGGTACACTCATCAACTGTCATGTGTCATCCAACTCCGAAATTTGATAATGAAATTTAATGAAAATTAATGGAAAGTAAAATTGTCACTGGTATACCAGTTTAGGATTTTTGGCGGTAAAAAAATTAGCTTGGGGTAAATTTATCGCAGATGTACTAGTTTGGAGTTTTTTATGGTATTAACCTTTTAAATAAATCAGTTCTCCACATTTTTTTTATATGGGAATATGAGTCTTTCAATCACATATGACATGTTATTATCAGTAGTCACATACAAGTATCATGTCAGTCGATGATCTGGCATGTGACATGTTGAACAAAGGCGAAAAGTTAGATTTTAGTAAAACAAAACTCGGAAATGAGGGTTGAGATTATTTATCGACATGGACATCAACCTACAGCATCTCCTTTTACTAATGAGTAGGGTTTGGATTAAATAATCAACCTATTTATATAGGCTATAGTGGCTCCTCTTTGCCTTCCTCTTCTTGCCTCGAACATCAGCTTTATTATTTTATGAATTTACTTGGAATCTTAATTGATGAAATCTATACACGTTCATTAAAAGTGCACGATCTAAAAAAGTTCATTAGTGTAATAGCTACAACCAAGAAGTATGTGTGATTTGTTTTTTTCTGAATATCAAACTACATTACTAGGCAACCATGCATTTGAGTACCATGAGAGTTGTATTTAGATCCAACATAAACTGAAAGCACAATACCATTCGGACCGATATCAAATCGCTTAAGGACTGCCGACTATGAAAGCATTAAGGAGTAACTATATAAATTAATCCTAGCTAGGATCTTCCTAACTTTCTACATGGGTAGGTATTTACATAATCAATGACGTAAGCATGATATGAGAGAGAGAGAGAGAGAGAGAGAGAGAGAGAGAGAGAGAGAGAGAGAGAGAGAGAGAGAGAGAGAGAGAGAGAGAGAGAGAGAGAGAGAGAGAGAGAGAGAGAGAGAGAGAGAGAGAGAGATTATATATAGATCATAATTCAAAGTGAAGATCTACTATCTTAATGATGATGATGACTATAAAATTGAGAGGAACATAATATGGTTTGGCCCAGCAGAGGCTTCAAAGAACTATACAATACATCGGGATGATCATAAGATGAGAGTGCATGCTTACAAGCATAAAAATCATTTTGTAGGGTAAAGATCATTCAACTTTTTCAAGCCTTGTTTTAATGGTTTTCCTTGGACAAAGACTCTTCCTTAACACATGATTTAATCAAATTAATCAGTCCAAGAGAGATACACCACCCATGTGCCCCATAAGCAACGGGAAAACAGGAGGAAGAAGATTTGTGCTCGGCTTAGGCTCTATAATTAGGAGAATCATGGGTGGGTAAAGCCTAACCCAACTTGACTTTTCAAATAATATCCAGTATACTATGATTATATATAATAAGATCCATTGCTTCATTCTTTTGCGAAACCCTAAAGCTAGATGCGCAATTAGTACTAAACTAATCTAGGTTAAAGGTGCTAAAGGGTAAATGATTAAGAAGGGTCCCTTTTGTGAAGGTTGAGAGATTAAGTGGGAACATAGAAAAAAGGAATGATGCCTTCCCTAGGACACCAAACTGCGTGAAGCAATTAAAGCGACATGTTACTATGTATACTTGACGTGGGATATAATGTTTATTAAATTTTATGTTGCAAAGGAGATCAATGTTACTTGTGGAGAAAGCATTTTATGAATCGGATACATTACATGTCATCGATCGTTATTATTTTTCATTTGCCAAATATTGATTAGAGCCGAGATAGTTTGATATTCATCAATAGGTTTTCTTATTTTATGTAAGGCCACATCACTTTATTTAAAGGCCACTTGTTTTCTTCACCGTGTATATAAGAGTGGACTTTGGCTTTCAAAAAAGCCAGTAACTACTTTTGGGCTCATTTATGCGGCAGCAAAGGTTCCAATATATACCTTATATTAAACATTATACATTTGCTCCTAATGTGTTTCTAATTTGCATCTCGAAGTAATCATACAAAAAATATAAACGCAATCTACTCGACAATTGTCGACATGACACAACATGGCATGACTATGAATAAGACTTGATTTTGTTATGAAGGCTGAAAATTTATTTTTTGTTAATCGGATAATTACACAAATGATCCATAAATTTTGGCTCAATGTGCAATGCCGTCTCTGAACTTTTGATTTTTTCAAAATGGTCCTTGAACTTTAGCCCAATGTGCGATGTCGTCTCTGAATTTTCAATTTATTTAATGTGGTCTCTAAATATTCAATCTAGTCCCTAAACTACTTGAAAATATCTAATGTTATCCTTCTATTAATTTAAGTTTGGGATAATATTGAACATTTTCATATAGTTTATGGACTAGATTGAATATGTACCCAAAGTTCAAGAATCACATTGAACAAATTAAAAGTTTAGGGACGATATTGCAAATTAGACTAAAGTTTAGGAACCACATATAAATTAAAAATGTATGATGATATTGCACATTGAATCAAAGTTTAGGGACCATATGTGTTATTTTACCTCATATCAATGTAAGATAAACACATGATTTCCAACATGAAACGCAAATACATAATTAATCCTAACACTCAATGAGCGAAGTTGGTTTCACCTTGATTGTTTTTTGCGTAAAATTGTGACAGCTTGCTTTACGGGCTACTATGTTCAAATTTGGACTCATAGTAGTGTTGAGGCACATACGCGCTTATGTTACCTACGAAGAGAAAAGAACCATCTTTTAAGGGAGGGGTGATTATATTATTGATTGAATGTGCAACGAGTAGTTATTTAAGATGGGTGAAGTGGGTCAATACTTGATGAAGAGAGAGTAATGGGTAGTTTTAACTTTTGATATTATGAGAGTTTTGATGATATATCTTACATAATATATAAGTGGTGCATTCATACTGTACTCAATATATATACACTACGTTAATCTCCAGCTGACGTGATATCTGATGATTGTGTAGAGTTCTCTCTCTCGCTCATGTTTCATATTTAAAGAATAATCACACAAGCCCACCATCAAATTTCAATTGATCGTGCTTTAAATCAAGAGATTGGAAACTTGCAAATTGCAATATGATATTGAATTACGTGAACAAAAGAGGACATCGTATCTTCAAGTCGATCAGGAGTTCGAAATGGACGTAAAGCTATGCAAACTTTAATCAGCAAAAGTGGCCCCACGTGCGGTGCGTAGAAGCTTTCACATTCTCTTTTCCGCTCCATAGGTAGATAAGAATATGAAAGGATTTAGCCAAAAAGAAAGAAAAGAAAAGAAAAGAACGATGGGTCATGCGTGTGCGTGCGATAAGGATGGAATAAAGGTGAGGTTTTTAATGATGCCTCTTTTCTTTTTACGAGGATCTCGTGCAGTTCAAGGGACATATAGGGAGAAGAAATCATTTAACCTTCACGAACTCATGTACAACAAAAGCCTATTATTGAGCAACTCCTGTTTATGTGTGTATAGATATCCACTTTTGCTTAATCTAAAGGGTTAATACCACGAAAAATCCTAAATTAGTAAACTTGTGATAAATTTACCCAAAATTAATTTTTTTGACAATCAAAAACTCTAAATTGGTACACCTATGATAATTTTACCCTCCATTAATTTTCATTAAATTTTACTATCAAATTTCTGAGTTGGATGACACGTGGCAACTGACGAGTACACCAATTTGGGATTTTACCTTCTGTATGTCACAGGTTTACTAGTTTGTAATTTTTGTGTGGTATTAATTCAATTTAATAGAGAATATATTTATCATAAATATATCAATTTGGAGTTTTTAGTGGTTAAAAAATTAGTTTGGAATAAATTTGTCCGGATGTACCGGTTTGGGATTTTTGGTAGTATTAACCCTAATCTAAATTAAGTGTGGAGACCTTTGTGGGATGAGGGATTTTTGGAATTTTCAGGATATTGAGAAAGAAGCTACGCACTCAATCACTTCTCTAGTGTCGTGACAACGGAGAATTTTGAAGATCCAATATTTTAACGAAGGTTTAGGTGAAACAGTATTTATAAGGAAAAAAAGAACATCCCGATACCCATGTTGCTTTACAAAATGGTATTATCTGCAATATGGATTCCTCTCTAGCAAGAGTCACCTTACTCATTGATTCTCTAATTTCACCACTTCTAGTTTCGCCTCCATCTCTCACATCGATGCAGATCTTCAATCCTGCACGATACTCTCACTGGTGTTTCAACTAATTCACTAATTCTGAAATGCCGTTGTATCGTATGCAAGGAGGACACGCATAAAGGGCCGAAATGGACTGACACGCATGATGCAGAGTAGAAGATCCACATCCATGCGGTAAAGACATTATCACTTTCGTGTTATCTAGACCGTTAGAAAAGAATCAACAAGTGCTAGAATCCGACATAACCGGGTCACCATAGCCGCTGTCATATGGACTCCACACGGAGATCCACAGGGGACGCACATGATCAATTAACTTATCAGACCAAGTCCAGGGAAAACTCTTCCCGATGTGCGTCTTCAAAAAGGTAAATTTTGGTCACTCGAAGTGCACAAAGAATGAAAGAGAGGTCACTTGGGCCAGAGCACCATCGAGCCAATATCATCCTTCCTTCAGGCTCAGGAAATTGACATATAGCGAACTTCGACTATCAAATGTTTTGTGAATCGTCTGATTCTTCTGTCCATGGTTTCCCGGGGAAAACAGTCACCTCCACAAGTTCAGGAGTCACAATATATGCATCATCAGTTATGAAGAAAATTGCAGACACACAAGGTTCTCTTTAAATTGGACAATGAGATAGTAGTTGGTTAAATCCAACCAAAATGTCCTATAAAACCTCACGGAGATGTCTGGAGAAGGCTCGGTCCTTGTCCCTGCACTAATTTTTCTTGTACAATAACCTCAAACCTACCATCATATGGCTCAACTTTCTGAAAAATAAAATCTCTTATTTGCTCCAACTAGAGACCTATATAATCTGTGTTCATCGAACTACTTCAGTACCTTGATCGGCTTCTTACCCTGCAATAAACAAGCTACTCCCTATCAATCTACTGGACACCGAAAATCCAGCTACCAGTCAATACATAGTAGACTACACATGAATAAGATAATCAATTCTAGTGCTAAGTGCAATAACTAAATATGTTGATTGGCATTAAAGCTTATACCTTGGAGACCGAGAAACAGATCTAGAGCGAGAGCGGGTACGAGAAGGGGAACGAGACCAGGAACGTGAAGGGGAACGTGAAGGAGAGCGTGAACGAGATCGAGAGTAATATCTTCGGGAACTCCTGCTTCTACTAGGACTTTTACTGCGCCTATATCTTCTGCAACATATACAACACATAAGGATGTCAAAACACATTACTATTACCCATTATGCATCAACTTCTACGACAGCCATCTCATTCTCGTGATTAACCTTAGAAAAAAGCACTGTCACCCACTTCATTGCTGGTATAAGATGATTCAGAATGATAACTGATGATAGACAGAATGAAATTCAACACTTCACAAAATGGGTGACTGAATTTTAGGTTCATTCTCCAGGGAAAAAGACCAGCCTCATATAAATCAAGACATTGTCCATAAGGCACTTAATTTTATGGGTAAAATACAACTCTAATTCTGTAACACAATAGTAATATGTGAACACAACCAAGCACAGGAAAACATAAATATTCCTTCTTTCTCATGGAAATGAAATAACTACTAGCAGTACATAAATGCCGTCTCATGTAATTTTTGACATTATTGAAAGTTCTTTGTTGATAAAAGACCGACCTAAAAAGGCTTCTTTGTTGAACCATATAAGCACTCAACAAAAGCTGGACTATGTTAAGGCAATCGAGAAAGAAAGAAGAATCCGCGACAAAAAAGTATTTGGCCTTGGTACCCCCAAGAAAAGTTGGAAGACAAAACTCCACCACCAACCAATTAGCCTAGTCATACTGTCAGTCGCCTTTCAGCAAGAGTAACTATTAGGGTTCAGTAACTAACCATACAAGTACTTAAAAATGGAAATAGAAATGGTTCGCTATTACAAAAAGCAATTCACCATACCTGGGAGGGGAACGACTGTAGCTTCTGCTGCGGCTCCGATGTCTGTGGCGACTTAATCGGTTTGTCTCTGCTATCTTTTCCAGCCTCTGTCGCTCCTGTTCCCGTTTCTTTGCCATTTCAGCAGCAGTATCTTTCTTAACTGCAAGACAATCAGTTGTAAGCTAGCCTTCATGCAGGACAAAAGAAGACAGCTAGGGCCTGTTTGGTTTAAGAAAACCAGTCCAGTTTTCTGTCTTCATTTTTATTTGAAACTGAAAACAACACTGAAAATACTTGTCATCACAAACTAAAACCTGTTTTCAAAAGAGAGCGAGAAAAATTGTTCACTTTTATAATGACAAGAAAGATAATGTTTTCAAAAATTTTATTCTGAAGGAGATAATACAGTTTACTTTTGAATGAACATGCTTCTTATCTTTAAAACCCCACACAACCAAATATGTACCCAATTTTTTATTCAGTTGAAAATTCCATTTTCATGAACCAAACACGTTCCCAAGGAAAAGAAAAGCCTGAAGCTAGAAAACAGTTTTCATTTCACTTGAAATGAAGATTGAAATGAGCACACATTTGAGAGAGAGAGACAGCAGTGGAAACAAAATGTTTGAACTTTCTTGCTGTATCATGGGCCATACTTTGCCTGTTCAGCTGTTTACTCATTATCCTTTTCAGTCGTTCTTGAGGAGTTTCCTTTTTCTCTCCCTGTTTTGATGGCCCCCCAGACGTTCCTTTTGTTAACTTTGCTAAAGCCGAAGAAGTACTGCAAAAGGTACAGTTGACAAAGTCAAAAGAAAAGTCTGCAGTACATGCAAAAGTGCATGTGGTTAACCCTTTCGTCTGCACACGCATACTCATTAAATGATATCAGGAAGTAAACAGGTTCTACAAATCCAATCATGTACCTCACTGATGGTTTCTGTTTAGCATTCTTTTCCTTGTCAAGGGACACACCAGATGCAGGATCTACATGCAGGGCTTCAAGTATGTGACTGGATAATGGCCTGCAACACGAAAAGGCATTAGGAATACCGATATTACATCGCGCATTTAACCAAGCACATTATGAGTCCAGTTTTCAGGGGATATATGAGCTTCACAAAGGAAGCTTCCTTCCCTTTCCCTCTTTGCATTAGGCCAATAATATTAGGCCTGATCTATTCTAGATCACAAAGGTTTGCCCCAGGTAACAAAACGGGGGGTAAGCTGCAGCAGTAAACACTGTCCAATCTATCTTTGCAATAATTAAAGGTCCAGTGCTCCGACCGGTTCGGCACATCAGCCTGAGATGGAGGAGATGATGGTGGAGAAAGTCCTTCAAGCTTTGGTCCCCCTGGATCACCAGAGCCCCCGAATTCGGTAATAAACTCTATCTTAGGAGTTTTTGGCTTGCTTCTGTGACCATCATTAGTGTGTGATCCATGACCATAACGCCTGGATAATGATGGTGAATATGACGGTGACCTCGATCTGGATCTGCATAAGCAAGAAAATGAAACAGAACGGGGATAAGCATCGTAAGTGACCTATATTAACCTAACAGCTGTCGACCTTCCAAACAATTATTATATACCTTCGAGAACGGGGATAAGCATCATAAGTTGGACTTCGTCTAGTCTCCCTACAAATTAAGACAAAGCAGATTAGATGCTAGATTACATGACAGAGAGCCACTCTGTAGAAAGAAAACAACTGAAGTGACCTATACAAACCATTCTCTCACTAGGACAGAACCAGTCAGTGATATACAAAACAATGTTCTCAAACACATGCACAACTGCCTTCTTTACCTGGATCTCATTTGCAGCAAATGGACATCTTAAATTTTCTTCTACAAGACACTTAACTAAAATACCTTACCGATAGGGATCATGATGAAGAACTCGGGTCCCCGTTATGCGTGCAGCTTCCCTTTCCTTCTCCCTTTCAATCTGAGAAGCCTTCCTCCTCTCCTTTCGACTGAGCTTTCTCTAAAAGACCCAAAGAATGCAATCAGCAACTTCATCAAATCACTGTTTATGACAATGTGAGAATCTCCACCCAATCCACATTTGAAGTCAACTTACAATTGCAGGATCGCCTTTGATGACTTCCTTTTGCCTTTTCTCTTCCTCTTTAGCCTTTTTATCCATATGGACAAGCCAGCCATACCTTTTCACTCCAAAGTCTTTTGCAATTGCATCCATACCTTCATCATTACTATCATCACTGTTAAAATCTTCATCGACATCTTCATCGTCATCCTCCTCCTCCTCATCATCATCTTCGCCATCTGAATAAGCATTTTCCTCCTTCCCACCCATGTCATAAGAGAATCCCACCTGTGAATAGGAGCCCTTGCTTGCAGGAGGCTGTGGCTGCTGAGTTCTGCTAGAATCACAAGTAGAAAGACTCTAAACCAAGGCTGCCTAACATAAGCCAGTAAAGGGAATGCCAAAATATAATATAATTCATACTACTAAAGAAAATCTCACTTGTTCCAGATAGATCTAGGGCCCGTTTGGTAACGTGCCAAACAGTAAAAATTTCTGTTCTTTTGTTCCCAGAAATAGTTTGGGAACAGAAATGCGTTTGGTAAACTTTTTGTTCCCGGGCACATTTTTGCAAAAAATTGTGCCCAGAAATAGTTTTGGAAGAGAAACTAGAAGTAAAAAAAAGTTGCTTCTTGTTTCTCGGCACAATTTTGAGAATCAGTTTTTTTCTTCTTTTTCTTTTCTTCTTTTTGTGTTGCTCTTCTTGGGCTGTGGCCGGCGAGGGCGTCACGGCCCTCGCCGGCCGCCAGCGGAGGCGAGGGTCCCCCTTGCCGGCAAGGGCGAGGCGGCTCGCCGTCGGTCATGGCGAGGTCGGCCTCGCCCGGACGGCGAGGCCGAGCCTCGCCGTCGATACCCACAACGAGGTTGGCTTCGCCGTGGGTCGCGACGGCGAGGCTCGGCCTCGCCAGACTGGGCGAGGCCGACCTCGCCGTCGCAACCCACGGCGAGGTCGGCCTCGCCCGGATTGGGCGAGGCCGAGCCTCGCCGTCGCGATCCACGGCAAGGTCGGCCTCGCCCAAATTGGGCGAGGCCGGCGGCGAGGCAAAGCGGCCGAGGCGGCGGCCGGGGCCGCGACGCCCGGCTCGTGGCCGGCTTGCGGCGCCGGCGACCGGCCATGGCCAAAGAACGAAGGATAGAAAGAAAAAAAATATTAAACAATTTAAAATATTATTAAAATATTATTAATAAAAAGAAATTTTGTGTAGTTACCAAACGTATTTCTGTTCTTTTCTATCCCAGGAATAAAAATTTTGGACAGTTACCAAACGCCTTCAAATACTTAGAAATTATTTCCCGGCACAGAATAAAAAAGAACCATTTCTGAGTAGAAATAGTTCCCCGGCATAGAAACATTGTCATGCGCACCCCTAAAGAGGGAAAAAAACAATAAAAAAATCTCAACATACATGCAACAAATTTTCAAGAATTCCTGACCTGTCAGGTGCAAGTAAAGCAGTAGTTTTTGCTTCCATTTCTTGATTCACATGATGCAAACCCTCCCCGTCCGTAACTGTTAAGGTCAAAACTTAGATTGTAAAGATAAAATGAAATGAAGAGCCATAGAATAACAATAATATTAATTAACCACTTTCAAGTATTGCGCTCATACTAAGAGACAGATAAAAAAAGTGCACATCAAATGTTGAACAAATTTAATGTGTCATATTCAAAAAAGTACCGACATCCTCTACGTCGATGCTTAATTAAATCCCGATAACGCTCAAAATTTACAAACTCCTCTAGTTCTTCCTCTTCTTCGGACTTTTCCTTAACCCGAGAGTGCTTTGACTCCCGAATAAAATCAAGCAGTGCACGTCCATCAAATCTGCATATGAAGAGTAAAAGATGTCAAGATCTGAAATGTTACGTAGAAAACAAGTTGAGGCTGACATGAGATATATTGTTGCTTTTTGTTGCGGAGGAGAGAATGAGGATGTGGTGGAAAATTTAAACACAGATTATTACCTGTCAATTAGAATATCCTCTTTCCCATTCCATGGTATCCTAGAAAAGAAATTGAAAATTAGGTCATCTTCACATCAAAGTAAAATTAAGCAATTATATGAGGAAGTTGCAAAAAAATTGGACATCAAAATGAGGAACATCAATACCACATGAAAAGTTCATCAGCATTTCCAATGCCTAGAGTTCAGACCAAGTTTCTTATCCATGCAAAAAGCAAGTCAATTTTTGTGCATAATTTCCAAAAAAACAGTACCCTCATATGAGATGTTGTACTGACAATTGACCTTGCACCAGAAAGATAATTTCTTCCATGATTCAGTTCATATCATACAGGCTCTTAAAATGGACACCCAATGCATAATAGCCTCTAATGATATCTTCTTTGTAGATTACCCACACAATATTGTCTAAATAGAAAAATTTCACTCCACCATGAAATCTCAAGCTCCAATCATATTGCATCCAACAAGGCTAAATGTCTCAGACAGGCCTTTTCCAACTTCACAACAACAAAACAAAATGGAGGAGAATTTCACCTCACACGTCAACTATATCTAGCGCCAGCCTATAGCAACCTCGAACTCGTCCAATAATAGTCAACGTTGTAACTTGCCATCTTAGTTGCCCAAAGGAATATATCTCATCCCATGATCTATAAAGGCTGCCAACTTTTCACACTCTACAAAAAGACTATTACACAATCTGCTTTCATCACCAACCTCATTCGTCTAATAAAAATGTGCCATTGCCAGGCAATTCATCAGAAGCTAAAATGTATAGTTTTCAAATCTGCAACAAAACCTATGCACCTATTTCACAATCTGGGTACACCACACAAGCAGCGAAATCAAAACCGAGGCCAAAAATCCAACAGCTTGACAATGTTACAGTCGGCGGAGGCAGCAGATACCAAAAACTGAACACAACGCCACACAAACTTCAGCTCCCGAAAGAAATCCCGAGTCTAAAACTCGACACTCATCAATCCCAACCAGAATAACCATTAATTTCCTCGAGATATCAATCCAAAACCGAACATCACCATCAATCCACAGCCGAACCACGAAAAAGAAAACAAAGAACAGAACCGAGAAACAGCCACGAGCAAAATTGAAAATGAAGAGACAGGAAGCGGGTCGCCGTACAATCCTTGCTGGTCCTGGGTGGCTTGGTAGAGGCCGTCGTCGCGGTACATGCGGCACCGAGAGCCGACGGCCTGGATCGACTGCTGCGGGTCGCCGCGCCGCTTGGCCAGAAACACGGCCCGCCTCTGCGCTCTCTTGCGGGCCGCGTCCATCATGTCGTGCACCTTCTTCTCCGACCTCCGCGCCTCGTGCCACATCTTCTCCGACCCCCGATCGATGATCGATCGATCGATTTCCCCTCGATTTTCCTCTCCGCCGTGTCAACGAGAACTCGAAACCCTAAGCGCGATTGCGCGCAGTAGAGAGAGAGAGAGAGAGAGAGAGAAGGAGGGAGGCGTCTTCTGTGGTGGTACGTCGATGCTTCTGGAGCGTCTATCGGCGGGTGCAGCGTCCAGGCGTCCTTGCGTGCTCCCACGATCTACGCCGTCCACGTCGGCACCCGGCAGGGGACGGGCTTCGCCGGGCCTTTCATTGATGTTGATTTTGCCCGATTGAGTAAGTTTTGGGAGAAATTCGATTAGTGATCTCCCAATTTTTCATAGGGTTAATTTTATGAAAACCCCAAACTAGTATATGTATAATAAATTTATCCTAAATTAATTTTTTAACTACCAAAAACCCCAAACTGGGACATATATAACAAATTTATTCTCTGTTAGTTTTCGTAAAATTTTATTGTTAAACTGCTGAGTTAAATGACACATAACAGTTGACATATATACCAGTTTGGGATTTTACCCTCCGTTTATTACAGATACATTAGTTTGTTTTTTTTTGTATTAATCAAATTTAACGGAGGGTAAATTTGTCACAAATGTACTAGTTTTTGGATTTTTGTAGTCAAAAAATTAATTATGGGTAAATTTGTCACAGGTATACTAGTTTGGGTTTTTTGTGGTCAAAAAATTAATTTGAAGTAAATTTATCACATATGTACCAGTTTGAGATTTTTCGTGATATTAATTCTTTTTCACATGACCATAATTTTAATCTGTCTCAATAAAAATACGCGTTTTCTCGATTATGGTCTCTAGCCCATGCTCTTCTTAGCGATTTCATGCGTAATTGTGCCTACACCGGAGGTGCACCCAATCAGTTCGGTTTTCGAAAGGGTGGTTTGAACTGGGTCGGAGCATGTTGGGAGGAAGGGCTTAGGATGTGCTCGCATGTGGGACGCAGTCGCCCTCAAACTTAACCTCGTGAGTTTCGTCACTGTTCGATTTTGTGGTACGGTGAATTGTTGTTCTCATGCGTGTCAGGCCTGGATTGGAGGTTGAATCACAAGTTTCACTGTATACCGATCGAATGATGAACCCGTGATTCCAATGTTGATTAATCTCCAAGTTGGCATTTTTCTTTTTCCCACAAGGGGGTTATACATTTGTAAATCGCTCTAAAATCAATACCAGGATATGCATTCGAATCTCTGTTATTTAATATCTTAATTGTTCTCACAAAATATATTACCGATGCAGTATCAAGGCTAAGAATATGTTGGTTTATTAGAACTCTCCCGAGTTGGACATAAAAATGTCAGGACAAACAAAGTTTGGTGTGAATGCAAAAATGTTATTCCGACAAAAAATGTTAGAAAGTGTGAATTGATGCCGATGGCTAATCTTTTGAAGTAGAAATACGGGGTCGATACTTTCTTTGATTCATAAGGAATATGGGAAAGTCAGAAATTCATCCTTTCCTTTTTTTCATACTCAAATAGCACTAGATAGATTCACTGAAGGATATAGAGAACTTGCTGCTTCGGATGTCATCTATTAGTGACTCATCTATCCAACTAAAGAAGCTGCAAAAAGTTTCTCCCTGATCAAATGCAGCTGGGTTGCAACTTGGTCGATGGTCATGCGTCGTATGGGCTCCTCGACGGAGCAAGCGAGTCCAATATGATATACTGTTTCTAAACATTTTTTAAAAATGCGACTCCTTTCAAGAAGCGAATCATGGGAACTGTCGCGGCTCTCTCCTTGGTGAAGCAGCATGGGATTAGTAATCATTATGGCTTGTTGGGGCAAAGCTTCAGCGACATAATTATGAAGATTCAAATTATCTCCGAATATGTCGCTAGTGGGACTTAATCCTGTGAACATGCCGTAACCGTAGACATCACCTTCTTTTGAAGCCCCGCTTCCATTAGCATATTTTGCAATTTACGCAGGTTGTGGCTTGAGAAATGTCAAAAACAAAAACTTTGGTGAAGAATTGGAAAAAAAAAAAACACTAGTCTTTTGAAGGAAAAGTTGATTATCACAGCCTTAAGGGTGGAATAGCTTTCTTAGAGAGAGAGAGAGAGTGAGATGTTTACCTGAAGCGGCATAACCAACTGTTCCTCTTATACCAACAGAACTCATGTTTGCCTTAGTGTCAAACGTAGATTCGAGGACAATCTTTGCCAACACAAAGTCACCAATGTGTCCAACCATGTCAGCATCTAGAAGGACGTTGCTTGGCTTTAGATCACAATGAATTATTGGGCTTTGGCATTGATTATGGAGATAATCTAATGCAGAAGCAACATCAATAGAAATGTTTATCCTTTGGGTGAGGCTCAATTTCTTCGAGTGCCCATTTGCATCATTTGGAGCTGGATTTGGGTGCAACCACTCTTCTAGGCTGCCATTGACCATGAACTCATAAACTATAGCGTTAAACTCATCACCGTTATAATCAATGCCTGAGCACGCTGTCAGGACTTTTATAAGATTTTGATGTTTTATGTGCTTTGAAACCTCGCATTCTACTTTGAAGCTTTTGAGAGCACCATGCCGTGTTAAATTAAGCACCGTAACCGCGATGACATTTCCATTCGCTTGGAGTAGCCCCTTGTATACAGACCCAAAACTTCCAACCTCGATTAGATTAGTAGAAGAGAAACCATGGGTTGCTTTTAGAAGAGTTCCATAAAACATATTCAACATTGAATCATCTAAGTAGCTTGAAATCGGCTTGTTTCTTTTCTGCTTCAACCAATATAGATATAGGAAAGTGAGTAACAGAGGTATTCCGAGAAGTCCAAAAATAATGGCGATGATAAGTTTCAATTTATGGACTCCTCCTCTACTTTTGGAGTTTCGAGAGGTGCACTCAGGGAGATTAAATTCAGGCATCCCTCCATAGAGCTTTTCATTTCCGGCGACAAAAGTCGCACTCACATTCCTAAAAACTCCTTGAGTTGGTAGTGGACCTTCCAAATGATTGAAAGATAAATTTAGCTTTTTCAAAAATTGACAATGCCCGTAAAAACTTTGGAATTTCACTATAGAAATTGTTGTTGGAAAGATCTAATTCCTCAATGCTTCTTAATGAGCTAATTGGTTGAGGAATGGGCCCACGGAAGTGGTTATCTTGCATTCTTAGTACTCAGTCCATCGCAATTGCCTAAACTGCTCGTGATTTCACTGTCTAGAATATTTCCCGAGACATCCAATTTGTCCAAATGTTTCAAGTTTCCAATTTCCATTGAAAGGACTCCACTCAAATGGTTCCAAGACAAACTGAAATAGACGACGCTCCCAGCTACGGGGAATATAATTGGACCACTAAGATTGTTACTAGAAAGACCTAGGTCTGTCAAGCTCTGATACTTATGTAGGTATGAAGGAATTGGCCCTTTGAAGTTATTATTGGTAAGATATAAACGAGCAAACTTTGTAGATTTTGCAAAGAGGATGGGATTATTCCGGATAGACTGTTGCCTGACAAGCTCAATCTTGCAAGGTTTGAAAGATTCCCTAAATCTGACCGGATTGGACCAAAAAGAAGGTTGTCTTCCATTTGTAATCTTATCAAGTTCACAAATTTACCAATCTCTCTCGAGATCACACCCAATATAAGATTCTGATCCACTCGCAGGAATGTGATAGTAGTGGAGAAATGACCAATGCATACAGGAAGCGTCCCGCCAAATATGTTATTATGCGTATGCAACATTATCAAGTTAGTGGCATTTGTTAATGAGCAAAGGAAGCTTAGTTCATCTGCATCAGACCCTCCACTCCCGAGATAATTAGTGAATAAGGTAACCACCCGAAGGTTACAGAGATTGGCCAATGAAGGGACCTTCCCGAAGAACTCATTGCCTCCAAGTTGGAGCACAATTAGATTCGTGGCATTAGATATCAACAAAGGAATTGATCCAGAGAGCTGGTTCAAAGAAAGGGTCAAAACTTGAAGGTTCGGGAGAGTGAATCCTATATCTTTAGGAAGATTGTCGTAAATCTAGTTCATACCTAGCTTGCTTTTAATCAGCGAAGAGAATATGAAGACCGAAGGTGGAATAGTACCTGAAAGCCTGTTGATTGCCAAGGCGAGCACATTTAGTTTGGTTAGTCAACCTAGAGACTGGGGAATAATCCCACTCAAACCATTTTCGGTATAAAAAATCTCCTGCAGAGATGATATGCTCCCTATGGATGAAGGGATGCTGCCCGTTAATAGGTTCGTGGCAAAGCTGACCACTTGAAGATTTGACAAGTAGCTTAGGTCCATTAGAATTCCTCCAACGAATTGGTTGCGCTAGAGGTCGAGAAGCACAAGATTTGAGCAACCTGAAATATTCCTGGGGATCTCGCCCGTTAGTGAATTATTGGATAAATATACGAATCGGAGCCGACGTAGCCTTCCAATTTGTGGAGGGATTTTAAGGTTGAAGCTATTATTTTTGAGTCTCAATTCTCTCAAGAAGCTAAGGTTTCCAATGTGGGGTGAGATGGGTCCCAAGAGTCCTTGGGAATGGAGGTCCAGTACTATGACTCTGTAGTGTCGACAATCGCACATAATCCCATTCCATCGACAGACGTCGGTGTTGTCGTTCCAAGAGATAAGCACCTCAAAAGGGTCACCTATTATTTCAGCCTTGAATGTAAGCAATGCAAGTTTGTCTGTATTGTTAATAGTAGAAGTGGCTGCACCGAAGCATAACACGAGAAGGGCAGCGAAAAGAAGACAAGAACAATGCATTTGTGCGCAACTAAGACGCGAATGTCCCATTGTATGAGCATGAATTAGGTACTAATTGTCATGCCGTGCCTTTTTTGGGGCACGCTAAGAAGGTACTTCCATTTGTCACGAATGGGGGAACCGTCCCCGAATGAGCTACTAGGGTCCGATATGGATATTTTCGCTCAAATGTCCCACAGACATCCATCACTAGACAAACGGGGGCCTCTCCCAGACCATACCTCATGTGATAGCGGGTTGTAATTGTTTATATTTTATTTTGTCTGAATTTTGACTTGGAGTCGCCACTAGTCATTATTGGTAGGTTGACTAGAAACCTAATCAGGGTACGGGAGAAATACCACGATTCTGCGAACCAGAGATTTTGAATACGGGGGCTTGATTACGATAATAATCCCAAATCGAGATCCCTAACGCCCTTTCGGTACCTAAAACGATATGATGTGTTTAACATGCCACACGAGTTTCCGAGGTATACCCACGAATACAAACCATTCTAAACGTGAGAATTCAATTAATCAATATAAGCAACACAATCAATTGCAAACAAACAATACAATCCTAATTTGGGTCTCTAAAATGAAAACTAATTCAAAACATTCAAACCCTAATAAAGCCCTAAAGGCTTATTCATTCAATGATGTGTGTTTTTTTAGGGTTTAGGGTTTTTTAGGGGTAAAAATCCCTAAGTTAAGGATTTTCTAAAAAATGCCATTTAGGAACCTCTAAAAAATCTAATTTCACTTGCAAGGGTTGGCCACAATGTTTTTGGGTCATTATGTGAAATTTTGAAATTTTTGATTTTTTTTCGAAAAATAATTTTCTGAGAATTGTCCTTTCCGAGAGTTGACTTTTATGTTTTTGAGAAAATTTTTTTATGGATTTTTGAATTTTTGAATTTTTTTATTTTTCTGAAATTTTCACATTTTTTATTTGTTTTTCTGGTTTTTCTCAATTTTTATAGAATTTTCTGATTTTTCAATTTTTTTATTGATTTTTTTATTATTTTCTAAAAACTTTTCCCGCCGAGAAAGCGAATCGGACTGGCCCGGTTCAGGCCGGTTTGGCCGAACCGAACTAGGCATCGTCGGCGTCGGCCGACTCTCCGATGGGCACGACGCCAAAGCGGCGCCGTTTTGCACTTTTTCTCTTCGGCATTTTGCCGAGCACCTAGTGTGCATGATTCAGGGTTTATTGTTATCGAGACCATCGGTTCAAGCTCGTCGACAACGACCCTTTGGTGAGATTTTAACCATTTCAGTGGTTTAATGAAGAGTTCGTATAACCTATTATCAGTCTAACCTAACTAATTCATCACCAAACCATCGCTGGCCAGTGAAAAACCGATCAAAAAAACCTAACTTGCAAACTATCCTAAACAATCCAAAGAAACTCATGGATTTTCATACAGATCTCCCTGGCCGTCTACATCTGTCTAGATTAATATAAAATCATCAAACAAGGTGAGAAAAAGCTAACTTGGACGGCTTATGGCCACAAGGAACATTTCGGCGAGGACGTGCAAGCTCCGGCGAGGTGGTTCATGGACAACCGACTCGGTTTATGCAGGTTTAACCATCAAAATGCAATCAAATAACAACAAAAATATTCAAAGAACTCAAAGTTACAAAAGAAATCGCGTGATTAGCAAGATTGAACTCAAGTTCATATTCTGGAATTTTGTAGAATTGTGATTATGAACGAACTTTACCTGCTTCGTCAGAGAATCAAATGAAGTTTCTGAGTGAATCTGGAGATGTAGAACTCTTCCTTATCACCCGCACTCCGAGTTGGTGGCCTCGACTTCGTCGGGGAACGTTTGGATATGCCGGCCGAGATTGACTTTCAGGCCAATGTGATCAGCTTCAACACAAGTTCACCGGTGAGGAGGTTCACCGTTTAGGCCGATTCGCTGATCACTCGGTCTTGGGACCCTCGACTCACTCTTTCTCTAGAAATCTCCCTTCCTCTCCTTTTCTCTCAGGAATTTTTTTGTCACGCCCCGAACCCTACGAAGCGCAACATCCCTTCATAGGTCGAACTTGTACAACGCCTCAGGAAGCGTCGCCGACCCAAAACCCAAAACAAGAACAATGCACATGCGGAAGCAACCTAAACACCTGTACAAATAAAACAACACGAGACCAAGGATAGCACAACAACAAACAACGGGATAACAAATATACATTTGTATTAACCAGTGAAACATATACAATATCCATTTACAGTGAGCACCAAAAACCAAAAGCGGTCAACGGCCACCACTGATAAAAAGGGATAAGTGGTCCGGGTGGTTAGACTACTAACTAAGGTTGGGCTTCGATAAAAAAGGTACTGGCCCGACCTAATTGAGGCTAAGGCTAACCCTACGGAACCCAGTCTGGGTCGGATCCCGAGGACTCGGAAGATGAAAAACTGTCAGACAGCTCCACCTCGGAGTCTAGGGAATCCAGTTCGGACTCGGCCTCTGCTGGCTCCTCCTTAGAGTCCATCTCCTCAGGCTCGCCCTCCGGCTCGGGGTCCTCCTCTATAGGCTCTGGCTCCTCATTCGGCTCCATCGGCTCCGGATCAGAGTCCCAATCTATTGGCTCCTCGTCCATCGGGTCAGGCTCATCCACCTCCCAGACGACAGGTCCGGCGCCAGAACTCGAACTCCCCTCGGGCGTAGCTTCGGGGTTCACTAGGTCTTCGTCGGCACACTGCGGGTCCACCTCGTCCAGCCCGTTAAACGGGACATCAAAAGTCCGAAGAGGTCCATACTCCCCGGAGTAGTTTCTAAAGCACCAGGCTATATACTCGTGGGTCTGGTAATGCGTTTCCCCCACATCAATCCATACTAAAGTATAATACCTAATATACTTATCTCCGTTCCCTACGGGGTACTCGGTCACCGCTCTTTCTATCTGAAGCGGGATCCCAAAACGTACCGGAACTTCCGACATCTTCAAGGCCGGGGGTCTGAAAAGTTGGGTTTTAACAAACAATTAGACGAATCTCAGCGAGTAAAACCCTATAAACCTAAACTAGGCTAATATGCACCTCCTGACAGGCAAACAAATCACATACAGCTAGTAACAATTGACAATCAATTGACCTAAGCCCTTGGGCCCAGATCGATCACACAATTGATTCTGCAGGTTAGGCATAGTATAATCACTATAATGGCACGTATGCAACAGGCTCAGTCACACGCACGTCATGCACGTACTCATGCTCTGGTTCAATAATACACACTGGCACACGGCTCATTTCTCAATTAAAATTCGACCCGCGTAAAACGCATCAGGTCTATCAATCAATACCAACACTTCATGGCCCGTGTAAAACGCATCAGGCCTGGTGTCTCTAGCCCGCGTAAAACGCATCAGGCGCAACACCGATCTCCATATACGGACCAAAACCCGCGTAAAACGCATCAGGCTGGCCGTCTTCCAATAGAATCGGGTATCGTCCTGCGTAAAACGCATCAGGACTTATAGTGATCACACGTGCACACAATCAATTTTATCTAAACCCCGCGTAAAACGCATCAGGGCAATTAGGGTGACCACATGCTCATGTCAGGCACGCATATTCGCACCATTCTCATTTCAAGCCAATGCTCAGCACGCTAAATGCGTGGCCATTTAATCCGGCACTCGGGTAATAATGCAACTCACCATGAGCACAAAATACCAACATAGGCACATCAATAAATTATGCCAAAATCAACGTGCATTACAACGTGCTCAATGCTGCCAGTAACTTGATTAAAAAGCTCGAACAACTCAATCAAGCCATAACATGGTTGACTAATAATTTAGCATGCTCAAAACGTCACATTGATATGCCCAATTAGTCAATTTAATTCCAATTGAATTACGGCTTACAATAACACATAAGTCACATGCACTTAGTCATGTAAGACACATAATTAATGGCCCGATTATTTCCTCACTATTCAGCCATAGTGGGTATGCGACATGCCATCACAACACCAACCAACAATTAACCCGAACAAGTGAATTCAAGGCAATCACGGCAATTACACGGTTAAGCCTAAATTAGCCAAATTCGGTCCAACCTAATCCACATCGGCCGGCCACACTCAGCCCACTCTAGGGCATTAAACCACATTGAAATCAACATATTAGAACCCCAAATCATCACATAATCCACCACTAATTAATCAGCCCACTAATCAACCTTAATATCCCCTAATTAACCCCTAATGTGCCCTAATCCTATCTAGAAATGCTTAATTAGCCTAATTAGGGTTTAGGGACTAATACTCACTTAATCCTAAGCTCCAATTTAGTGGCTGAACCGGCAGGGAACGGGCGGACTGAACGGTTTCACGGCGGCGCAAACGGCGGCCTTTCGCGGCGGCGCTTGGGCGGCGACGGCGACCGGCGGTCCAAGGCGGCTAGGGTGACTGTGATGGTGATGGACGGTGGTGGTGGCGAACAGGGGAGAGAGAAAATGGTGGTCGGGTGAAGGTGGTGATGGTGTGGTGGCGAGACGGGAGGACGGCGGCTTCGGCGAGCGGCGATGGTGATGTGGCTGCGGCGGTGATCCTCACGGCCAAGGGGCTGACCGACGGCCTAGGAAAGAGAGAGAATGACGAGAGGAGATGGAGAGAGAGAGAATGGACGGCTGGTTGACGGAGATGCACGGTGGGCGTGGCGGCGGCGCTCCGGTGGCCGTGGCTCACACGGCCGAGAGAGGGAGGGAGAGGGAATCGGCGAAAGGGAGAGGAGAGGGGGAAGTGGCCGGAGATGGTGAGGAATGAGGGAGAGAGAGATTAAATTATTAATCTAATGGGTTTGACCAAATTTTCCTAAATGCCCATCTTGCCCCTAACTCACTTGGTTGATATAATCCTAACTCAAAATATCCAAGGGCATTTTAGGCCTAAATTTTCTGAATTATTGGGCTGATATTATCCAATATTTAATCCCCAAAATAATCTCCAATAAATCCCAAAATTCGGAATACAAGGCATAAGCTTAGGGGCAAAATCGTCATTTTTTGATTCCGGGCCGAATTTCTATTTTTCGACCGTACTGATCCCAAATATAGTTGGCCACACTAAAATGACGTCGTCCTCGCAAAATAGTCATGTACGTCCACCAAATTCGACGTCTGAGTCCGGATCCAACTTCGCGATCAAAATTGCTCAATTACAATTTTAGGGTCTCTCTCACTAACGGGCAGCTGTTTAGGAGTTATGCGTATCGACCTAGGGTTACTCGAGTCGTGACGGTCTCGATTACCAAGAGGACGCGAGGATTTATCGCTAGTTCCGGAGGTCGCGATCGTTCGGTTTAAGTTTGGGATTTGTTCGCCACGCGTACTCTCGGTCATGCGGAATCACCCGCGATCCGATCGTACGTCGTTGGCCAAACTAAATCCATCACCTTCCTAGGATCGGTCCACATTGGGCCAAAATATTTCCTCGTTGTTTCTCGGAATTGGTGCCCGATTCGCAATCGGGTCCCTTGTCCACGTACCGTTTTCCTAGTTAGCCATTCCCTTCTAGTTAGTATCCCGAGAGTGATCAATTCCGGGCGAGACTTACTAAAATTAAATGAGAATAATATCTATTTCATTGATCCCGAGATTGGGTCAAAATTCAGGACGTTACATTTTTCGAACTGGTTCCCTTTCTCAGATAATGCTTTTTTCCTCTCTTTTGTAGCTCAATTTCCCGCCCAAAATTGATTATCGCGGACTCCAAATTGGTTAAATTAAATCTCTGATGCCAGCTGGAGATTCTCCAGCTGGAATCGGAGATTAACACGTGCTTATTTGGCTGGATTAAGTCGATCAAGAGGCGGGCACGGGATATTTTTCTGGGTTTAGAATGTTCTGGGCGAGCAGGGTGAGGAAGAAGGCCGACCCGGGTCGGGTCGGGTCTATCCATCCGACCCGACAGACTTGAATTGGTTTGAATTCGCAAATTCGACCCGATTTTGACCCTATTTTTCGATTTTAATCCCAAAATTGGATTTCTCATCACATTTCACACTCAAATATGAGATTTACCCTACTTTTTGTCACGATTAAACCGAAAATTCTCAAATTGTAAATTCGGATCATTAGGGGTTTTGTTCAATTTAACATTTAGATGACCTGATTGGGCAAAATTGATGCCAAAATTAGATTACCAATGACTGATTAACCCTAGAAATGATTGTCTCATGGTTCGACAATTTCAAATTGATAACGATCCCTAATTTGGGCTAAAAACCCCTAATTTCCAACCGGATTTTGGGGTTTTTCCATTTCTTTGGTAAATTGTGCAATTGGACTAACCATTATGCAATTCAAGGTTCTAGAATCATTTGTTGTGAAAACACTACCACTAAAAAATGAATAGAAATGAATTAATTAAATTTTTGATTCAATTTGGACTTGTTTTTACCCAATTTTGGGAAAAACATATTCCCAATTGAAATTTTCTAAAATTGACACTGTATTAATGAAATTGGATTTAAAAGAGGACTAATAGATATTTTATGGAATTTTTGGGTTCCATTTACTATTTTTCTTGATTTTCACCCTTATTTTGACAAAAAGAAATTAAGAAAAAATTGAGGAAAATTTTTTAAAAATTATTTTTGGTTTAGAAATAGGTTTCTAAGCTTGGCCAAGGTTCCTAATTCTAATTTTGTGATTTTTGGAAAAATCTGAAAAATAAGCTAAAAATCAAGTGTCAACAACTACCCCTATTTGAGATTGAGCTCGTTAGAGATTGATCTAAAAAACGAGGTGACACCTGAGCTTTTAATAGACTCTACGGTCAAAATAAATGGAAATTTCACAACAACTGATTAGGAATCTTGCTTGAAATTCATGATCCAGCCCAAATTTTCCTCTTTTGAATGCATCTGAGAGGTTCCTAATGATTGAGGGAAAGATAAACTTATCTGTTTGCGAGTAGTTTCCTTGTTGATTATTTCCCAAGTGTGAATTGATGGTAGTGATGGTGATGATTATTGATGAATTATGATCTCATGGTTTAAGGACATATCCAAGAACCATGAGCGCCTGAGGCTCCTCGCATGAGGACTTGATGATTTGCTTAGTGGTTCCTCGCCAGTAAGGTTTAAGATTTACCTAGTGGTTCCTCACCAGTAGGACTTAAGATTTGCTTAGTGATTCCTCGTCAGTAGGACTTGAATTTGCTTAGTGGCTCCTCGCCAGTAGGACTTGAATTTGCTTAGTGGCTCATCGTTAGTAGGACTTGAATTTGCTTAGTGGCTCCTCGCCAGTAGGACTTGAATTTGCCTAGTGGCTCATCGCTAGTAGGACTTAAAATTTGCTTAGTGGTTCTCACCAGTAGAACTTGGATTTGCCTAGTGACTCCTCGTCAGTAGGACTTGGATTTGCCTGGTAGTTCCTCGTCAGTAGGACTTGAATTTGCCTAGTGGTCCATCGGCAGTAGGACTTGAATTTGCCTAGTAGCTCATCGCCAGTAGGACTTAAATTTACCTAGTGGCTCATCGCCAGTAGAACTTGAATTTGCCTAGTGGCTCCTTGCCAGTAGGACTTGAATTTGCCTAGTGGCTCATCGCCAGTAGGACTTGAATTTGCTTAGTGACTCCTCGTTAGTAGGACTTGGATTTGCCTAGTGACTCCTCGTCAGTAAGACTTAGGATTTGCCTAGTGGTTCCTCACTAGTAGGACTTTGTATGTTTTTGGTTGACCAAAAACTATTTGAATTGTGGTTTTAAGTTTTCTAAAAACTACTTGATTTAAAGTTGACCAAAAACTATTTGAAATGTGGTTTTAAGTTTACCACAAACTATTTGGTTTAAAGTTGACCAAAAACTATTGAAATGTGGTGTTAAGTTTACCACAAACTACTTGGTTTAAAGTTGACCAAAAACTACTTGAAATGTTGTTTTAAGTTTACCACAAACTACTTGGTTTAAAGTTGACCAAAAACTATTTAAAA